GCAAATAACTTGACGATGTTCTCATGATTCAGCTTATTAAGGACTTCAAATTCTCTTCTCCTCACCTCTACCGGTCTCATCATTCCTAGCTGGTTTGAAATCTTTACTGCATACGTATCGCCAGTTTTCTGAGGGTAATTAGATCGAAAGTGAAATCATCACGAAAGCAGCGCAGCTGTACGTACCTCGAGCGATCGTGAATCGTTCAGAACAGAAAGACAGGCAAAAATACCTTTAAAAGCAATACATAAAATCACCTTGTGTCTTCCCTTGTAAACGGCTCCCGTTGCACCTTGCCCCAGAACATCTTTAATGTTCCAAATGTAGTTCGTGCTGCTTCGTATCTCCATTTCACCTATTTCAGTAGGAATCAACGACAGTAGATACTTAAAAACACGGCTCCTAATTCTTGGAATGTTCACGGTATGTTTGCACAGAAAACGCTGTTGAGAAACCAGTTTCTTTTTAATAAATCAACTCTGTTATCCCATCGCATTTCTTTTCTCATCTGCACGTCGATTGAAACGTAGAGAAATCTAGAGCAGAACGTTCTAGCCTGACGATTGTGAGAGCAGCTTGGCGAGGATGTTTGTTTTCTAAATTAGCGTTCAAAGTGGGCAGAGGGGAGGAGGGGTGGGTAACATTTTTTTTATCACTCTATCCACCCCTTATATGCAAGCGTAGCGTGACTCTTTTCTGTAATAGCTAATATCAGTTGCTAATTAACTGCCCCCGCTTCAAAAAAAGCCACCCTAAAGGCTGAAAAGCTTCACACACATTAGAAAATACTGGAAATGTGATTCCAAAAAATACAACGCGTAAGTATGAGACAGATTTCAAGGAATCGCAAACTGATTTCTCGGAAATCATACCTAGCCTGTGTCTCCCTTCGAAAAAACCTAAGAGGGGAGGGACGGCTGTACACAGGCCAATCATACCATGTACGTGAGATGACGTGACAAATAGGAGTACGTCACGCAGCATTAATCGAACTTGCGTGACGTTAAACTACATTCATGATTGTATTTTGTTTTACGATATATGTTATAAACCATAAATAATTAGCTTTTTTACTTTAAAAATCAAATGCAAAAAAACTGCTAAGCTATGAACTATAAACTATGAACTATGAACTGGTTTTAAGGGCCCATTAACTGATCTTTCCGAGCCGTTGCTAAGGAAGATTTATTCTCATATAACCCCATCATTTTTAATTAGTTCAGATTATTTCATGTGTTTTAACTTTTTCATGATAAGTAACACCAATGATGACGTCATCAGGCCACGCCATTGATCATGTGACCAATACTGAAAAAAAGCAAAGGCTCCCAAGCAAGTTACTTTATCGCGATTTTTTTCATTGATTTAATATTTAAAATTTAATCCTCATTACGCTATGCATAGACATTGTTTCATTTCTAAAAGGTACGATTTTGAGAGAATTTCAAAATATTGAAAAATTCGTAATTTTCTGAAAAAAGCATGATTTCGAAAAAGGAATGCATAGCTATGTTTCTACCTTTGGCTTTAATCGAAACGCGTCGAAAAAGGCTGGATTTATTGAAAAACCGCGTTTCCTTTAGCATTAAAGAAACCGGAAGTGCACCTAATATATATCGGAAGTTTCCTTATCAGCGCGTGCGCAATTTACACTACCAGAACAACTCGGTTAGATCAGACAAAGCGACACAGAGTTAGTTTTTCTCTTATTTTGTCTTTGCTTGTGCTTTTTTTATTTTGCATTTGTGAAACACAAACAAAAAACATCCAAAATGTAAGCGAATTTGCACTTTATTGAGTTGTTTTAATTTTCCGCGCTCAGGCTGGCGAAAGTAACCGGAAGTGAGATTTCACCTCCTTAGCAACGCGCACCCGACGAATCGGTTAATGGGCCCACTTCCCGTAATGACACGTAAGCTCTAGCGGATATTAATTATATCAATATTTCTTCGATATTTCTAAAATATTTCAATAGTTCTCCTGGCTTGATTCTGCATTTTGTTGTTGTAGGAAGTGTCATAATAATTTTGCCCTTGATCGATGTACAAGTAGTTGAACTGTGTGTAACTCAAAGTTCTTAATGACACAGAGATCATGGGTGAAACATATTACAAAGTTGCGTCGGAATTTTATAATTCTGCTTGCGTAAAAAGAATTACTTCGCTCCACGACGCATATAAAAGTTAACGTTTAAGAATTGTTAGATCCGAAAATGTGTATATAACAACGCTTACCTCAAATTCGTCCCCTCGTGAACAGAGAAATATATGTTCTTTGTACTTTACACTATCGCGTAGTGATTCATCGAATATTCATCCATCGTGGTGGGCCAGAAATATCCATGACGTAGAGCAAAGATTTTAAAATGTTGTATCACTGTTACACTGGTCTAGACTAAACTTTGTAAAACAAAAGTTTGAAACCCATGTAAGGAAAGCCAAGGTTTTAAAGCTGACACGGTGCTAACACGCGCATGTAATTTAACAGGGATAGATTACGGGGTTTTCCCTTCAGTATGGCCTTTTATTGTATGGCCAGCTCTGTGAGCGGGCAAGATGAATCAAATCCTGCGTTGTGATTGGCTACCCGAGCGGGCAAGATGGAGC